TAATATATATATATATATATATATATATATATATATATAATATACTATAAAAAAAATAGTATTAAAAGCAATATTAATGACTCACCTAAAGAATCAGAAAGATTTTGATGAAAAATAATATAATTGGTCAACATTAAGATTCCGTCTAGGAATAAAATAATTTCCTTTTCGTTGTATAATTTTAAACTGTCGAATCAATTGAAGAAATTTCCTTATAAATTATAAGCAACGAAAAGCTGCGTGAACGCAGTTCGCGCGACGACTACTTACCGACTACGAAACATCACCGACGCGTTTTACGAGTAAACTGAAACGTCGTCAATTACGCTATATGCCTTGTCTCGATAGATAGGAACATACGTTACTGAACGATGAGTCTCTAGTTTGATTTTTTAACGATATTGAATTATATTAATATTTTATTAAATAAATTTAATAACAGTTCATTATCACATTTATTCTTTTATAAAAATAATTATTAAAATTATTAATAAATTAATTATAATGATCAATTAATGTAATTATTTATATAATTTATATTATTGCATTAATTTTTTACATTCTCACGTAAAAATAAAAAAAATATCCTATGTAAGTATTGTATTTTTGATTTTTAATAAATTAAAAAAGAAACATTTATTTATTGAAAAAAAAATATTTTTAACTTAATATTTTAACTTATTGATTGGAACGAAGTATAAAATATCGTGTTGAGAATGATCGTTTCATAGTGTACATAAATTAAAATTCTAAATTACACGTTTCCCATATTTAGAATGATGCATAGTTTTATATTCATAAATAGTATTCGTCTGATGACGCAGACGTTTTAATTAATGATCGCACAGCGAAACGTTATTCCGATTGTTTGACAAGTTTGGTACAATGCCGTGATTTACATCGTTCCAATAGTTATATCTTTCAAACATAAACAAAGATGCAATTTTATTAGTGACTAATTTTAATTTTTGTAAAATAATAAATTATTTGAACAAATATAATACATTAGATTAAGAAACTAGCATTAATTAAGAAAATTATTTAAATAAATATAATACATTAATAATATTAAAAAAAAAAATTAATTAAAATAATTAAGAATCAATTTATATGTGTATATACATAAAATATATTTTAAAAAATATTTGTAACAATTCTCATATCATAATGAAGATAAATATTTCAATTTAAATACTTACATTTATCTATAAATATAATATGTGTAATTTCATGTTTTCTCAATAGAGGTCTCGACAAACGCAATTTTCTCTGTCACACAATCATAGAGAATATAAGATCATAATATATATGGTAAGATAAAAAAAAAAAAAAAAAAAAAATAGAAAAAGCGAATATTATTAATAAAACAATAAAATATGTCTCAGCCTTCTAAGAAAATTGAAGAAGTTTATGAAGAGTTTAATAATCAAGCAGATCGAATTAATTATTTAATTAAAAGAGTAATAATTTTATTAAAATCTACTATTCTATTTATTATTCTGTTTATTTTTAATTAAATAAAATTGAATTTCAATATTTTATATAATATAAAAACATACGTCTCGTTCTATTTTCGAAAGTTTACAGAATTGAAAGAAACAATCTGTAAATACAAAAAGATTCGAAATTATTGGGAATCGCATTATTCTACTTTATCTATGAACATTTGGGCAGGACAAGTGAAATATCTAGAATTACAGAAAAAAGAAGCCAACCTTAGAAATGAAATCTCGGAAATTATAGAAATAATCAAATTTCAACAACAAGAATTAAAAAATTTAACAAAAGAAAGAACGATATATTTTACGAAACAATGGTATTTCTCTTTCTAAATTTTAAACAAATCATTTAATTAAGTTTAATTATAGTTTTCATGTTCATGCATAAATTTGTCATCAATATAAAAATACATAATTTCTTATTTTTTATCATTAATAATCATTAATAATCATTTATTTAGCAATAAATTTCGAATTATGGATATAAAATATACAAACAATTTTCTGCGCGCCCAAAAAGAATACGTATGTTTAATTATATATATTCTAAGTTATTATATAATATTATACAATATAAAAATAATTTTTCAAAAAAAATAATCATTATCTTTCATAGTCAAATGAAAATTTAATCAAAGATATTCAAGAATTCCAAAAAAAATACGAAAAAATATATAGTGAATTGCCAATATTTAAAGAAAAAGTAATAAAACTACAAACATTATGTGATTTGAATGATTTAAATTCTAAGAAAGAAACTGAAGAAATATTGAAAATTAATCTTGTTCTAACAAATATAATGTAAGTGTAGTAATTATGAATAGAATTGTTATATACTTAGAAATTCATAAATATATTTTTAATTATTATTTATTATTTATTAAATATTATATAGGGAAAATAATAATAATAAATTATTACAAATTACACGTATACAAGATATGCTAAGAAGATTGGAAAATGAAATAAAACAGAAAAAAAATGTTTAATAACTTTTCAGAATAAATAATTTATATACTAATATTATATTATATATCAATATTAAGATACATTATAATATAATAATAAAATTATAATAAATTATATTACATAAATAATTATAAATAAAATTATAATATTAAAATTAAAATTTATTTAGTATATATATGCGATTATTATTTCATTTTATTATAAAATATTAATTTATTATAAAATGTGAATTAAAATTTTTATATACATAAATATTAAATAATAAATATATATATATATATTCTTTTAAATCTTTTAAATATACGAAATATTTACTTAATAAAAAAATTATAATAATTGTATTATAATCGTATGAAATGTCATGATATATAATATCATGTAAAATAAACTTTAAAATATAAGGTAAAATGAATCGATTTTCAGTTAAATTCAACAATTTTTTTTACTTATAACTTTTTTTTATTGATATAATTCATAAAAATTAAATAAAATGTATTAGTCGATTCATTCTAATAAAAAGTATTCCCGCGTAAATCATTGTAGAAAGCGCCAACCAACAACGGTGACAACGATCATTGGTTAGAAAATTGAATTTATCAAAAGCCGGTACTGCGTTGTTTCAACATTTTTTTGTGAAGATTTAATATTTTTTTGAATTGTGGGTTTACGACATTTTTAAAATAAGTCAATATGGAACTCACGGATGACAATTTGCTTACTCTTAGTGAATATCTAAAGCATACACTTAGTCCAGATATAAATGTTAGACGACCAGGTGAATATAACCTCTCTGTTAATAAAAGTTCTTGTTGAAACATCATAAAATATTTTACATAATCACGAACACTATATATTGTTATTCATAAATATAATTAATATTTAAACATTTTGTTTAATTAATTTAATTATGGTTTGAAATTTAATTTTGTAATAAATCTGACATGCGGATATCAACAAGTACTTAATTCAATTTTTTTTCAACTATTTAAAAAACAGTTAACTTACCAATAAATTTTAAAAATAGATGTATCGATTGAGTTTATAGAAAAAACGAAAATCGAAGAAAAATCTTTTTCATTTCATTATTTTTTTTCAAATAAATTTTTTCTTTTTTTTTTATGTGCATATATATAATTAAAAATAATTATATTTAATTATTAAAATTTATTATTAAAAATAATTTATATTAATTTATATTTTATTTTTCATTATTTAAATATTATATAAATATACTTGTATTTCTTTAATTTGTATTTTTATTTTGATTCTTTTATAAATCTTTTATAAAAAAAACTTATTTTTATTATAGATGTTATAAATTATAAAATAAATTCATAAATTATTATTTTGTTTTAGCTGAAAAGTTTTTAGAATCGGTTGAAGTAAATCAAAATTATCCGTTACTTCTTTTACATCTTGTGGACAAATCTGAAATCAATATAACCATTAGAATTGCTGGTGCAGTTGCATTTAAAAATTATATAAAACGTAATTGGAAAGTGGTAATTAATTATATTATTTATTAATATAATTTTTGTTATATTTATAATATAAATAATTAATTGTAATATTTATAATTTATTTCATATGCAGGGAGAAGATTCTGTAGATCGTATACATGCACAAGATAGGGAAGCTATTAAAAAATTGATTGTTAATTTAATGCTTCATTCTCCTGATTCTGTTCAAAAACAATTATCTGATGCTGTTTCAATAGTTGGAAAGTATGATTTTCCAAATAAATGGCCAGAACTTATAGATCAAATGGTTGAAAAATTCAATACAGGAGATTTTCATGTTATTAATGGTGTATTACATACTGCACATTCATTATTTAAAAAATATAGATATGAATTTAAAAGTCAGACTTTGTGGACTGAGATAAAATTTGTCTTAGACAGATTTGCTAAACCTTTGACAGATCTGTTTGTTGTAAGAATTATATAATTATATTATTATATTATTAAATAATTTTTTCTTATGATATATTAACTGCTTCTTTAAATTTTTAAATTTTGTTTTAGGCTACAATGAATTTAATGCAAGTACATGCAAATAATGTAGATGCATTAAAAATTATATATAGTTCTTTGGTAATTTTATCCAAAGTATTTTATTCTCTTAATTTCCAAGTGAGTAAAATTATCATCAAATATAAAATATTACATTTTTTTTTTACTAAAATTATTTTATTTTTAGGATTTACCCGAATTTTTTGAAGACAATATGGCTACATGGATGAGAAATTTTCATATTTTATTGAACACAGATGTACCATCTCTACAATCTACTGTACTGTTACATATAAATTTGTTATTACATTTTTTTCTTCTTTTCTTAATATTATTTATATATTATAATGTTTATAATCTTTATATATAGGATGAAGAAGAAGCAGGAGTAATTGAACAATTAAAATCACAAGTTTGTGACAATATTGGCCTTTATGCTCAGAAATATGATGAAGAATTTCAACCATATTTACCTGAGTTTGTAACTGCTGTGTGGAATTTATTAACATCTACTGGCCAGCAACCAAAATATGATACTGTATGTAAATTTAATATGAGTTAGATGTATTAAAATTTTTCTAATGATTTTTTATATTTTTTACAGTTAGTATCGAATGCTTTACAATTTTTAGCAACAGTAGCGGATCGTGCACAATATAGACATTTGTTTGAAGATCCTACTACTTTGAGTAGTATATGCGAAAAAGTTATAATACCTAATATGGAATTTAGAGGTAATTATTATAAATTGCTTAATTAGAATATATATTTTATATATACATGTATATATAAATATTGTATTTTTATTAAGAAAAAAATTTAATAATTAATAGAATCGGATAATGAATTATTTGAGGATAATCCCGAAGAATATATCAGACGAGATATTGAAGGCAGTGATGTCGACACACGAAGACGTGCTGCTTGTGATTTAGTTAAAGTACTTTCTAAATATTTTGAAGCAAAAATAATGGAAATTTTTGGTGCTTATATACAGGTAAATAAAATAAAAATAAAAATATATAATAATTTATATATGTTATTGCATTTTTGTTTTTTAATTTTTAGGTCATGTTACAAAATTATGCTAATAAACCTGCTGAAAATTGGCGAAGTAAAGATGCTGCAATTTATCTAGTCACCAGTAGTGCAAGCAAAGCTCAAACACAAAAACATGGTGTTACTCAAAGCAGTGAACTTGTTCCATTACCTCAATTTGCAATGCAACATATTGAACCAGAATTAATCAAACCAAATGGTACATAATATTAGTAAAATAAAAATTTATTCGTTAAAAATTATGTTATATAAAAAATTTTAAATATTTACAGTGAACGAATTTCCTGTACTTAAAGCTGATGCAATTAAATTCATAATGACCTTCAGATCGATATTACCTAAAGAAATGATAATTGGTAGTTTACCACAATTAATTAGACATTTAAGTGCTTCAAATATTGTTGTTCACACATATGCTGCGTGTGCAATTGAAAAAATACTTGCAATGAAAGGACCCGATAATTTATTTTTGTAAGAAATTTAATATTTCACTTAGTAATATAATAGGATCCTGTATAATGCACTAAAGATATAATGATATACTGTTTTTCTATACGCGATTAATGTCTCGTTTTTTTTTTAATTAATAACATATTTATGCTATTAATTTTTAAAAATTATTTTATTTGATAAAACATAGAATACAAAAAATGATATGATAATAATCAAACATATTACTTTATTATTTATATTATAAAGAAGAAAATTCTTATCAGCATGATTTGCTATAATGTGAATTTATATAATGCACATTAATAATGCATAGCATTTTACAGGAATCTATTGTAATAATAATAATATAATGATCTTAATGTATGTTTTTTAATTAATCAAATTTTATTTATAGAGTTAAAGCTAATGATTTATCACCATTGACATCGGATTTATTAAAAGGTTTATTTGCATGTTTAAATATATCTGGCTCAGAAGAAAATGAATATGTAATGAAAGCTATTATGAGAAGCTTTGGTATTTTACAAGAGATAATCGTACCATTCTTAGCAGATCTTTTGCCTAAACTTACAGAAAAACTTGCTATAGTATCTAAAAATCCAAGTCGCCCTAATTTCAATCATTATCTCTTTGAAACTTTTGCTTTATCAATTAAGTAAGTAATAAATTACAAAAAAAGATGTGAATAAATTAATAAACAAAAATTTAAAAATATATTTTATATAATTTTAGAATTGTTTGTAAAACACATAAAGTTGCAGTTTCATCATTTGAGGAAGCGCTATTCCCAATTTTTCAAGAAATTTTACAGCAAGATGTGTTAGGTAAAATATTTTATTTAATATAAAATTATTTATGTTATTTAATTGTATTATTTATTTTTAATATATATTTTTATATTTAGAATTTCTACCATATCTTTTTCAAATTCTTGCTTTACTTCTGGAATTACGAACAACTCAAGATATTCCAGAAGCATATTTGGCTTTATTTCCTTGTT